CGAATATCCGGTATCCGACCCAACAGCTATCCGTTTCATTTCTAGTAGTCATTGTCAAAAGCGTTGGTAAATCTCCGTGCCAAGCGTAATAATTTTTACAAATCATCACTAATGAGGACTGTAAGCCGCTGTTAAGAACAAAGTCCACAATTTCCACGACTTCCCTGTGAAATCGACTACCACCAGCGATTTTCCCGGACCAATACGACTAAGAGACCTTCAAGAAAATAGCCCACTCTTTTTTAAAAGGCCGGCTTGGCATCTGGAATTTCCCTGGTGTTGCATTTGTTCTGGGCGGCGGTAGTCACCATCAGATAAGCCGCATGCTCGTTTGCCTTCTCTAATATATAAATAAAAAAAAAGATTTTGCATTGGTAAAAATTAACCCAAGTATTTATTGTGAAAATTGCGAATGACGCAAATCTTTATCCCATTCAGTAAATACATCCACTTATTTGTGGTGTTGCAGGCTATTATGTGCTTGCTTTCCGACATGGTAGCAAGTTTTAAATTACCATTGGCTCATACCCCGTTTTGTTAACTTAATAAGGGGCTATTAAATCTGGCACCCCTGACTCGTTATTTTTGTTCACGGGTAATTAAATCACCGAGAAAAAAGAACAACATCGCTCAAAGTAATCTAATCGGTAATTTGTTTTCGCTCAATTGACTTACTGGGAGAAGTGACATTGGATGGTAAAGTTTTCAGCTATAGACTGTATAAACGTACGCTTCGATTATTATGTTTCACGTTATATAATTGCAACCAGCTAGCCCAGTTTAGTCTTATGAAGTATCGGCTTTCCGTCACCCAATTTAGTATTTATGTTCTTAATAGGTTCCAAAATAAATTTGCGCCTAAAGAAATGTCACTTGGAACATTTAATTTTAATAAATTTATGTGTTGACTGACTAGAGACACAGTCTTTAATTTTCAACAAAACTTAACAACTTTAACACCTTATTCGTGCCACGTTGCATAGGTATTTTGCTTAGAATGTGGGTACGTCAAAACAGTTTTGAAGCTGGTATGTTCCCCATTATTTTCATGATCTAAAAGATATTAAAAGTAACAAATCTTGCATCAGCCCATCTCTTCCCTAATTAATGTTATTATACTTATACCATTGATTTAAAAACCTCTGACATTAAATCATCAGAGATTAGGTACAACATGGTCACCACATCTTCCGAGGTTATTATCTTCTAGTTATTTAATATTATAATAACCCTTATTAATACAGTTTTTGTTTTTAAACTTTTTGATAGATAGGTTCTGCATATTTCTGGGGCTTTGTTTTAAAAGATTATACATTGTCCCTTGAAGGAATTACAATTAAATTTACCAAGATCAAAAATTACTTTAGTCGTAGAATTTTTTTCTATAGAAGAGGGGGCAAACGAGCTTACGGTTCACCTGATGATAAGTGACTACCACCGCCCATGAACATCATGTATCATGTATCAACTGCCTGACAAAGCGTTTATGACGGCTGTCATGCGGGCTGGCATGGAATTATTCAACAACTCTTTGACGAGTTTTGAAATGTATTCAAATTCTTCCTCGTTGGTAATTTTCAGCTCTTATAGCTTTAAAGCTCTGTCGGATTTATTTTAGATCTTCTTACTGGCCAATCCATGACTGTGATACCGAAATTATAAAGATATTGAAATAATACTAGTTTTTACGGATTTTATCGCGTATATTTAACTATGAATAACCGACGTTTCGAGCGCTTTACAGCACCCATGGTCAACCATTTGTTGACCACTAGTATTATTTCAATGTGTAGTCTTCGCGTAAATATAAGAAATCATTATAAAGATATTACCTGACGATTCCTGAGTGTATACTTTTGCAGTATTATGCATATGAATGAGACCTTCACCAACAAACTGCCACACGTGTCTCTCTCGAATATATCGATTGCCAATAGGTGTAGGCAGTCGTGGTCTCGACATAAACTCAAGCCCGATTTTGCCATCTGCATAAATCCATCCCCAGACATCCATGAATCCATTTCTTTCACAAATCTACCTTCTATCATCATTCGCCAGAGGAGATTAGATAGGTAAGCCGCAAATGTTTAAGCGTCGATGGTACACTCTTTGTACAGCAGATATGCTTAAATGAAGTTGTGAACTACATTTCCCTTACTAAGAACAAACGGAAAAAGTTTATTAATTTATTTATTATTCATAGGACACCAGCAGTGCACACATTACAAAATTTTTATGGAAATAATTCCACAGCTTGGACGACTACTTCAAGCGAAGTTTTTATCATTTTACTAAAGCAAATTTTGTATTTCTTGAAAAACTACATAAATCAATATTGGATCACGAATGAATGTGTCGTTATAAATTTGAACTTACTAATTAAGTTCAAATTTGGAACAACACATTCATTCGTCATCATTATTCTTTACAGCCTATGAAAAGTTTACTGAACATAGGCCTCTCCCGTTGATTGCCTTGAAGAGAGATAGTTGCGTTGAAGGAAGATTTTGCCATAGTTACCACACTTGGTAGGTGTGTTGTCAACTGCAGTTTTTTTACTACTTTGACTCGTTAGCGGGCAAATGCTGTTTCCCATCACCCGCTTTATTTTCACTCCGTCGTCTCTTACCAGAACCACGGAATGATGATGTAACGGGTTATCTTACGCCGCCAGTAGGTACGCAATATGACGATCATACCAGATTCAAAACTCCATAAAAACATTTTCTTTTAATAACCATAATTTTTATGTGTCGGTCCTCTATAATAAAAAGACAGGCGGCTCGATTCGTAAGTTCCGCAAGGCTATAATACGTAACTGTAATTTTAATAGAAACTAGAAAGTTAAATTTAATTGTATCGACGTGGTAGGACTTCTTTCTGTCCAGAAGTACATCGGGGTGGGTTCTTCCCTTTAACCTATTGCCGTCGCCAAATGGCACAGTGCTTGCATTGCGGTGCTCCGGTCCAAAGGGTATAGAGCGAGTGTAGTAAGTGAGGATATGGTAACTTTCTTACATTGAGTTATATGTACTACGTACTAGTGAAGCTATTCAAAACAAAAAATGTGCACTACTCTGTATCCGCGCATGCGCGGGAAACTGTAGAGTCGCGCACGCGCAGTTGATATAAACGCTCGAAAATTGTCACTATAAATAATTGTTTATGTAGATTGTATTGTTAATCGAGTACATTTTTTTAATTTTCGTTTATTTTGCATATGTGCTAATTTAATATAAAATTATTATTAGCGTTGCTCCGCACTGCACGAATATCGATGCCACAAGAACAGGTGTACGGATTGCAGTACAGTTCAGTTGAACATAGTGAGTGTTCGGAATGCGAAATCTAGTGCTTAGTACATATATATCGATGCTTTCTTATAATTTAAAAACTCCTGCCTTATTTGCAAAGAAGGCTATATGATAGCTCTTCATCAGTCAATCAAATAATAAAGAGTGAAAAGAACGCAGCTTTATCGACGCCATTTTAACAGTTTATATTATACTTATAGTAAATATTTTAGTCGATTTTGGTATGACGTAATGTAGTTAGTTTTTAATTAAGTTGATTTTCGAAGTATTCCTAATTATTGTCAATGCTTATTTTCTATTTTTTTAAATTAATATTTTAGTAATAGTATATCACTATGTGTTTTTGTATCTGTACTCCTCCTAGTTTTGATTTTATAGGGCTGCAAAGCTTAAGGTGACCATATTACCGTCATGTACCTTATAAATATAGTGAGGTGACGACACATTCTTTGTTTGTAGTTGACTGCAGGTGTCCATGGACGGCAGTAGTCACCATTACGTCGAATGTCACTTCAGTTTTTTTTTTAAAACCAATAAAGACCTACGCACGCAATTAAGTCATGGAGCCGAAGTCGCATGAATTTAAATTTCAAATCATTACAATTTGAATTAATATTGCATCGGTTTCAGTGAGTTGTGTTTTTCATTTCGTTTAAGGTGACACTTTTGTTTCAATAATTGAAATTACATTGTATTTCAAACGGTAAATTGTCCCCAGAAATAGTTAGGATAGAACTTTAGACCAACCACTTTCTTTCAACATGGATTTATTGGTACTTTTCTTTCTGCACAATTTTAACAAGTTTTGATGTGCCTTCCCTTATTACTATACAGGGTTATTTTTCAAAGAGGAACCAATTTTGAACCGTTATAAAATGTTGTTTTATATCTTTTATTTGAAACTGTCCTCAGTTAAAATAATGCGTTACTACGTATTTTTAATTTAGTAGGTAAAAAGGACAGAATGTTTGAGATTTTATTAAAGTTTTTTTTATTAGTATATTGTTTTTTTATTTAGTAATTTGTTTTCACCATTTGCTTATATTACTTATTCTGAATCCTCTCTTCAAATTTGTCCGATTAATGCAAAATAGCCCTGTATAAAGTCAGGTCAAAATGCGTTAAATAAGCCATTATACGCCAGAATCCCGATATTCATACATGATAAGCACCTACCAACAAAGTTGCAGAAGATAAAAGTAAAATTACAAACAAATATCAGGAAGCCCAGAAGATTTTTTCTAGGATTCCTGCTATTTATTTGTAATTTTACTTTTGTCATCTGCAACTTTTTTATAGAATAACGGTGAGCAGCGAGAACACAGTCCACCTGATGGTAAGTGGTTTAAGTTAAGCTAAGTATGGCTCTACTAACTGCAACTGTAACTTAATAACTTAGCTGGTATTACTAAATATCGAGATTCTAGGGGATATAATGGCATATTTAATGCATTTTGACCTGAATGTAGATTACCTGATATAGTAATATTTGGAAAAATTTATATAGATAATAATTAAGCAAAGCACATCAAAACAACGTGTTAAATATATACAGAAAGTATATTTTTGCAAAAAAAATATCCACAATTCTGTGATATAATAAACTACCAATGAATCTTGCCGCTTTGAAAGACAGTAGTCTACAGTTTTAACCTAATTATTTCTGATCGCAATTTACCGTTCGAAATGCAAAAGCGTGTAGGTTAGTTGTCGTATATATTTTTCGAGACTGCATGTTATTGCGAAATTGACTAGTTTTCAAGTACGTAGTCTACCTTGGAACCACTGCTAAGCACGCGTCTACAGTTATCGCTTAAATTTTAATACATTTGCGTGCATCCGCAGCGCACTGGGTGGTGCACCAGTGGCGACTGTATGAGCGGTCGCTGTGCTCGCTGCTGGAGCTCCAGGCGCGCAAGGGCGCGTACTGCTGCTCGCCGCGGTACGTGCTCGCGCCGGAGTACGGGCCGCACCTCCTGCCGCTGCAGCTGACTACGCAGCGCCACTCGCCGCCACCAGCGCACTTGTAGCGCTGCGACCACGCGCCGGACTTGGTACGTACAATAGTTTTTTTTTGTTTTTTTTTTACTTTTCTTAGAGGTCAGCCGCCGTAGAGTCTACATCACCTGAGGATGCCTCGTGTAGAGGCGAAACACGTGTCGTATTATCGTCGATGGTGTGTCTTACCTGGAATAGTGGTGTTGGAAGTAGTGGTGCCGGGAGTAGTGGTGGGAGACTGGGACTAATGGTGACGAAGTTAGAGCATGCAATTGAGGGAGGGCGGGAGGTGCTCTTCAATCAAGGTAAGACACATCATTGTATTTAGTTAGCGGAAGGTTGCAAATTAATTAATATTTTTATTTTTTTACTTGTTACGGCTATAAACCAGCTACTGGCATTTATTTATCTGCGTAGGTAAGTTCGACATAATGTTCATTTGAACTTTTTCTTGTTTTGGTATGGCTAAACTTAGGATAAAAAATTAAATTCTTCTTCTTTTTTACTTTATGGCTTTTCTTAATAGAAGTCTATCACTGTCAAGTCAGTAAAAATTAATTCAGGATTAGCCAGCTAAACTTACATTAATTTTTATTTGTAGGTTAATGTTCGACTTATTTTAATTTGCAGTTAACTTTTTCATCTTTAGCCGACTAATTTATATGTTGTGTAAAAAAAACTCAAGGGCTGCAACAAAAGCAATCGGCTACACCTAGCTTAAGCCGTGAACATGAATAGTCCAGTGAATCCGAAATTCTTTTGAAATTTATCGTTAAAATAACAAACATATCTTTTGATTGCAATTAATGAAATGTTTACATGAGATTCGAAAAATATTTAAGAGAAGTATATGTATCGAAAACTGAAGTTACTTTTTAGTATTTATATAGGCGCCTATCCGTGGAACTTATATCATTTGAAAAGTAGTGTGCCACAGATGTATTTACACAAATAAGAAAATCATGTGTGTATTATGCCGGAAAGGCATAAAGTGCTCACATGATTTTTCTGTACAAGACTCTTCACAGAACAAATAAAGCATTTTGATCTTGTTCTTGTATGTTTGAGCTGAGATTCCTTTGCCTTCTCTAATAATAAAAATAATAAAAAAATTATATAAACAAATACTTAGTGTTGTTTTCGCCCAATGCTCTTCTTTCGGCCACAGGCGAAACCAGTTTATTTAAAAACTCATTCGCATAAACAACATTTTTTGTAACATTTCGACGCAATCAGATTATTTAATCTTGGACGTGACGTCCGAGTTGCTTTTATTTCGGATACTGGAGATTGGCAGGAACGAAAAACAATGGTCAAGCACCAAATCTTAAAATGGGATTAGGATTGCAATTAAATATTTATGTACTCGTATAACTCTTATTTCTACTTTTGTGAACTATACACCCGATTGAATTTAAATTTAGTATAGGTACTCATTTCACAATGAAGACGCTCACTATGAACGAATTGTACGATAGTCCCATAAAAAAGTTTTTTCTTGATATTTTAGATGTAGGTTCCGCAATAAAATATTATCGAGAACCCAGCAATATAGTATTATATAAATAGTGTTTTATTATCAATTATAGATATATTTAAATAACAATTTTATCTTTTATTTTAAATAATTGTGATATGGATGTGAAATCTACTCAATAGCTAAAAGTTATAAGGAACTAATAAGCTAATTTAATATTAAGGTTTTAGTAGATTATATTATGTTACAGTTAAAACTCTTAACCCGTCAAAACCACTTTTGACTGCAAAAATCAAGCAAAGGTAGTTTTGACTGAAGGCGTTAGTCCAAACCACTTTTGACTGCAAAAATATTGGATAATGGTGATTTGACTACCAACCTTTACGACCAAACTTTATCGGTTAAAAGCGGTGTTGACTAAGAATATTAGTCAAAACTACTTTTAAAATTAAAAAAGTCAATTCTAAAATTATATTTTATATCACTACAATGTAAGCGGCTTTTAGGGTGGTCCAAGGGCCACCCCAGCCGCACCTTAATCTACTGTCATTGAGTTTTAATCTAGCAAAACCATTTCTGATTAAAACATTAGTTAAAACTTTTTTTGACTAAGAGCCTCCGTTAAAACCATTTATGCCAAATTTTCGCAGTCAAAATTGGTTTTGACTAGTTATGAATATTGACTGCGACATTTACACTGTTTTGATGTCACTTAAGTCTTATCACAGGCATAAAAGATGAACCTTTACTTTATCAGCCTCTCCAAATCCATTGTTAGATAGGCCTTTATGAAAAGAGTTAGTCTAATACTATCAGCTCTTAAAAATCCACTTCTAAACATGGGCCTCCCTGTTGTAAGGGTTAATTTAAATCGTCACGTTGACGACTGCAGTACCACGCGTCTGACATAAATGACACTGCTACCCGTTACCAGTCTGGGTATTTTACGCCTGTTGTAAACGAAATGGTTATAGCGCCATCTATCGGGAGCCGTAAGTTTTTTTCTTGCATTTTTAAGCTATTGCATAGCTTTTATCGCGGGCCTTGAGCGCGGGGACCGAATCCAGAAATTCCGTAACGGAAAAAACCTCACGCTCCCCACTCCGACGTGTGGCGTTGAAACCCGTGCATCGTCTAACGTCGTTTCAGTTCGGCAGACTTCGGCACTCGGCAGAGTTCGGCACGGTGTTTGTGTGCGTGCGACTAGACGTATGCGTGTACACTAGCTGCTAACTCAATGATAAAAATTCCTGAATAACCTACATGTATTGTAAAATATTAAAAATATTTTAAACAATATTAACTTCTCATTTATTCAATAAGAGAAAAAAAATTGTTTTCTTATCGGTCACCACAATCAAAAAGTGTAACTTGATTTAATATCGAAGACTTAACTGCATAAATAAAATAAATAAAAATTATGTTAAATGCTATGCAATAGCTTTACCGCGGCAGTCACCGAGTGCCACACGTATTTTTTTACTGTCGTCTGTTACGTCGACAACGGGGCGAATTGGGATAATGGATTCTCTTCGGTGACATCACCCTACGCAAGATTTTCATATCGAATTTCAATTAATTTTTTATTCATACTAAAATAATATAAAAGAGTGAGAAAGAGTGACGTTTAGTATTTATTTTCATAGCAATCGCCTCTTACCTGACGGAATATATGCCCAGACCTTTATCTTAACGACGCCATCAATTCAGCGAAGAGCCAGAATGATAGGTTGTAAAGTCTTTCTAGTGGTAACTATAAAGTGAAACGCGGTACCGTAAACACCAGTTTCGTCCAACGTTATTACCTATAAAGGAGTGAAAATAATTCCGTATATTGCGTATCGAGTCTAAATAGACGGTAGTCCTCGTTAACACTATATTTGTCGACATTACTATCTGGACAATGTATGAGGTCAGGATGCACGTTTACTTGGACCCGTAGCCTACGCAACGCTACGTAACGTACTCGGGGCAGTTCGTTACGCAGGCCACGTAGAAAAGGTAACAACTAAGTTAGAAAGCGTCCCTGCCGGCAATCGTTTTCGTTTTTTCTTACCATACGAAACACTACGATATTAAGCTGCTATTTACGCAGGTATTCTGTGAGAGCGTGGGCTTGTCCCGGTGGAGATGACCAACTCTTTCTATTATAGATACAGCGTGTCTCTAGCAAAAGACAGTGTGTATGTTGTGTATAAAATATATTTATTTCATTAGGAGCAACCATTTCTTTAGCGTCGGGCTTATAGTTTATAATACCATATTTTATCAATTAGCACGATATCGATCAGTTCAACTGAATGGTATAAACAACAACTGGATAATTGCTTGGTTTATAAAAAAATATCCCACCTATGAGGCTTTCTCTCCTATTTTGTTCGCCTTGGTCGCCTCCAAGTTGTTACTTATATAATTGTTGTAAGTATATGTACAACCTGTATTTTATTATAAAATTTTACTTTGAAAAATAAATCACCATGATGTTGATCCAATATTGTGATTGGGGAAATGTGTTTATCTGCTCGTTTTATATTATTAGTAACAGCATTTCGAACGTTCTACCTGGTCTATTCTTTTGTGACAACGCCGCTCATGTGAGTACCTATCGTCTTTATAGTCTTTATCATCATAGTCATGATTACAGGCTATCAAAAGTTCACTCCTGAACATGGGCCTTTCCCATAGATTGCCACGTGGACCAGTTTTTTATTTTGAGTTGTTTTCAGGAAGGTGCTACTGCTCGTCTTCTGTGACATTTTCATCTCGATTCGTAGGATACTAACACGTCGCTGTGGGGTAGTGGATATTCTTATATTTCATTGTGGAATTCAAAGATATTTTGATCCCGCTTTATAATAATAATAATAATAAGAAAGATACGAACAAAATATCTGGACCTGGCTCACGAGGTGATCGACATGTGGGGTGGTCTGCCGACTGAAATTATCCCTGTAGTCGTCTCTGCGAATGGGCTAATCCCAGTCAGCCTCTCGGGTCATCTGAGGCGGCTGGGACTCCGTGACGGACCGCTCCGGGCTCAAATGCAGAAGGCGGTGCTCCTCGATACCGCCGGCGTCGTCCGCCGGTTTCTTTCCCTTTCCCCCTAACCCTCGGCCGTTTGGTCTCCCCTGCCGAGGGCTCCCATCTGGTTGGATCTTATTTATTTATGTAGTTTTTTTGTTTATTTTATTTTATTGATATTTATATATATTTATCTTTTCATTTTAATTTATAATTATATATTTATAGAACCCAACCAGGTGAGAAAATTATATAGATACCCCAATAATAATAATAATAATAATTTATTGTTTCTCACATAACTTTTACAAATAAATCATATTGAAGCTCTGTAGCCCGTGGTAGCCGAAAACTGTGTTACAGACTACAGCATCTTCCCCGGTTCAGTGACACAGTTGTAATGTGACAAACTATTATAGCAAACGATATAAAAAAATTAATTAGAATGTCATTAAAAATAACACATAGGCTAACAAAGTATAAAGAGAGAAAAAGAAAAAAAAAACAATAATAATAAGGTAAATAAAAAGTGTG